CGCCAACATTCGGTAGAATTTATATAATATTGTAAAAATATATATATATATATATATATATATATATATATATATATATATATATATTGGTCTTAAAGAGCAACTGCACGCCTAAAGACGATTCCACTTTGAAGCGAAATCATGCAATATATCAATTTAAATGCGCTATTGACGAGTGTGCGCGTCAACAACATCGTATATTGCTGTTACGATCACTTCAAGTGAAAAAGATAGTCAACTTGCATTCTTAGACGGTCTAATTATACAACATGAAGAACATCTAAGGTGTAATAACTTGAATTCTACGTCAATGTCAGTTGAGACATATATATGAGAACAATAAGAACTATAAAAGCTCAATATGGAGTTAAAAAACACTCGTAGAATGTCTGATACAATTGATTTTCAATTCCTTTTAAAACCAATCCATTTCTTTTTTGCCATATCCAACCTCACTATTTTATCCAAATTTGTCTTTTTCACTACTATTTTTCACGAAACAAAGGGCTTTATGCTGCTTAATTCCAGTTTTTTTTACATTTCTTCAAAGTAAACTTTTTAACTATGTTTATTAGACTTTTGTTTTCATTTTGTTGATTATTGCGAAAGTTTTAACTTCACCACAGCGAATACAATAGGCAGATAAGATGGATTAATATGTTTTTTTCACGTATATAGAATTATTCCGTATTTTTTTGAGATCTATCTTACCTGTATTATTTTCATCTTTACGTTGTCAAGTTATTCATTTTTTTATGCCACATATTGTGAATTTCCAATAAAAAATATGATACAATTATTGTTCTTCCTCCATAGTAAGTTACATGTTAAAATTTTTTTGTTCTTTTTCCTTAACTTTCAACTATCTAAATCACATTTCATTAATCACACATGTTTGCTTATTTTTTTTAGACAAGAATGATTATATTTTCATCTTTTTAATTACCTTTTTATTACCGATTTTGTTTTGTAAACCTCTTTTTCAAATTGAGTGCACACAGCTCAGCCACTCTATTATTGATTATTTGCGTTTTTGGTTTTTATGTTTTTTGTGTTGGCGTTTTATGTTCATAAAAGCTTTTCCATGCGTCATGATTATCGTTTTTTGTGAAAAAGGTTATTTAAGTAAAGTATTAAACTATTTAACACTCACATAAGCATTCAATTTTCTATTTATGTTTAACAAATTTATTCATAATTTTGTAATTGGTGATGTTTGTATACACGTTACAGTGAAAAACCCGATGTTGTGTTCTTGCAAGAAGTGGTTACTAAAAATTTAGGAGTTATAAAAGAGTACTGTACAAATTATTTTGTGGTTCTAGGCACTGATAGACAACTTTTTCCTGGGGAATATTTTACTGTTATGTTATTAAGAAATGACACAACAAAATATTCAAATCATTCTGTTCAACCGTTTTATTCTAGCATAATGTCTAGAACGTTACTCCAAGTTAATGTAAATATTTTTTTCATAATTTTTTTATTTAACGACATTTTTAATTTTTCATATAGTTAATTTAAAAATTAAATGTTTAAAGTCATTCTCTTCTAATTATTTTTTAAATGTATCCAAACAGCCAGCGTACGTAAATACCCGAGAAACTACGCATCACATACGTTGCATGTGATAAGCGGCAATATCTTTGCAATCGAATCCATTCACTGTAAACAAGACCAAGCCAGTTTATGATTCGAGAACGCTAGTGAGAAGTTGCAAAATGCTACTGCATCCGAGGCACCCAATGCGCCAGTTTAATAATCCCAAAATGCTGAAGAAGAGGTTGATTATAGGTCGAAATCTGACCAAATTTATCACTCCAAAAATTATTAACTTGGAAATATCTATCACAACCTTATTGGTTCTGGTGAAATGTCCAAGAACGATATTACGTGAGGCTGGCGATGGAGTTATGTTGGATACTCATGCTAATCGGGACGCCATTGCGTTCCAGCCCATCTCCAATATTAATTGGAACAATTAAAACTTACATTCTTTCCGGTTATGCATCGAAAGAAGTCAGTTTAGATTCGGTCAAGGACGATTTCTTTTATAAACTCCAGGAAGCACTAAATTTGATTTCTCGAATACACCTGGCTGACGATTTTAATGCCCATATCGGCATAAAAAAGCTGACTAGGAATCAATAAGAGTGACTTTTGGACACGATATTACCAACGTCAATAGCCATCGTCTTCTCTCATTTGCCACAGCTGGTCATCAGGAATGCTCTATTCCAGCATCCAATTGAGCACAAACTAACCTGGCAAAATCCATTAAGTAAGAACTCCGCGATTTTAGACAACTAGTTTATAAGTTTTAAAATTTTGATTGTTATTACAGGACGACATAGCTATCTAGGTCTAAAATGCTGATCTGATTATCATTTGTTTTATATCAAATCCATTTAAAACTGCAACTTGTCGATCTGTGTTGATGTTGAATTGCAGAAAGCTGATTATCTCAGCGGCCAGAAAAGGTTTAAAATTAGTCTTAAAAACCGTTTCGGAACCTGGTGATGGCGAATGACGTTAATTGAAAAGAACGACACATCTATGTTCATCTCTCTTTCGGAGTGCGCTAAGCTTTTTTGTCCGCCTATTCTTTGCCGCAATCAGCTGTGTATAAGGAGGATCGTTTGAATCTGGTGGCAAAGCAAAAAAGGTCCGCGTTGTTTGTCAGTGCGCTCTTGCGATAGTGACAAGTATACTAAAAGACAACACAAATAAAAACTTTACTATCTGATATTTCGGCCAAAATAAGAACGAGAATTGGCCACTGGAATGTCAGAACTTTGTATAGCACCGAAAAAAGTCACATTCTGGTTAGAAAATTAAAAAGGTTGAATATCAAGATGTGCTGGATTAGAGAGACGCACTGGACTGAAAGAGACAAAGTGTCGATAGACGGGTACGCCATTTGGTACAGTGGCGCGATGGTGGGGAGTAGACATGAACATGGGTAACCATATCTGTTGATTCAAATATGAGCGACGCGGTTACCGAAGTCTCGTCATACGACTACGAATGAAGTTCAAACATGCTTATGTTAGTGTAGTTGAAGTGTACGCATCTACTGAGGTAGCCGAGAAAAATGAAAAAGAAAATTTCTACAACCAATTGCAGATGGAGCTGGACATGATGTGTTACTCCTCATGGATGATTTAAACGCCAAGGTAGAAAACGACGTTAGAGTATTGGGCAAAACATTAGGAAAACATGGAATGACGAGTGAAGAGAAAAATGACAGTGGAACACAGTTGCTCGAAATGTATAGTGACAACAACCTATGTATCTCAAACACATATTTTTTCAAAAGAATAGTAAGAAAGCTACATGGGTTTTCACCTGATGGAAGAATAAAAAACCTGATCGACTGCATTATAGTTACAGAAGAATGGCTGACATCAATAAAGAAAACCACTTTTGTCTACCTGGGAAGCGAATTGATGACGGAGGGGAGATTTCATACCGAAGTGAAAAGAGGACTGTCTGTCAGGGGATGCGTTTAAAGGCTGCATGAGAAGATTTTTAAATGATACGATATCAGATATATAAAGCTGAAGAGGAGAGTCTTCAACGCCGATTTTGTTATATGAAGCGGAATTTTAAACCACATACTATGGAGAATATACTGAATGCAGCTGAAACGTATGGCTGCGATAAATCAGGGAAATCAGTTATCCGGACCATAATCCCATATGAGGAGATTAGACGGATCAGCCATACATAACCGCGGTTATCAGAATGCGCAGAATGAAATGGACATGACACATGTTGCGAATGTTTGAATCTGGTGGCAAAACAAAATAGGTCCGCGTTGCTAGTCCATACTCTTTTGCGATAGCGACAAGTATACTAAAAGGCTACACAAATAAAAACTTAGAACTATCTGATATTTCAGCCAAAATAAGAACGAGAATTGGGATAAACCTCAAGAAGCGAGACGAAGAGGAAAATCGCCACAAAGGTTGATCGACTGCATGGACGAAGATCTACAACGAGCAAGATTGTCTTAACATAAAGTTACAAGGGGAAGATACCGATTGACACTTTAAGAACTGGCCACGTTCGAAAGATGTCGTAAGAAAATCAGTGATTCCCCACAGCCGATAGATGATGGTTATGATGACCAGTAATTGGTCTATTTATCTATGTCAAGGTCTTGGTACCATTAAGGTATTAGCATGTCATTGAAACAATTATAAACCGAATAACTGCCTATTTTAAACCAATTTTTTACTAATTTTATAATTCTTATTGGTTCTTTAAAAGCCTACGAGCTTCTTTTTATGGGTGTCGACGTGGTCTCGATGTTTTTAAGATTAGGGTTATGTATCTTTTCTGATCTTCTGATTCTGAATCAGATCAGAAAAGATGAAAAATGACTTCTGGGCTGAGTTCTCTGACACCATGTCAACAATACCAAAATCTGAAATAATCCTGATTGGAGGCGATCTCAATTTCCACGTTTGACAACTTGCATGGCGGTTTTGGCTATGGAAAACGGAATGAAGATGGCAACCGCATCCTTGAGTTAGCTGAAAGTCACGGATTTTGTTTACTGAACACATATTTTAGAAAGAGGTTGGAACATCTCATAACATACAAAAGTGGACCATCAGCCACACAAATTGATGTCTACGCTGTCAAGCAACAACACCGAAGGCTATTCAAAGTTATACCAGGCGAATCATGTGTCGCCCAACATAGACTCCTTATGGCAGACCTGGTTGTCAAACTCAAAACATAAGTCTGAACAAATGCCTCGGTAAATCAAAACTAGGGAAGCTGAAAAGCAATATTCATCGTGAAAAATTTCAACAGATTGTCGCCACACAGTTAGACCACCAATCGCAAGCCAGTACTGATTGGAGTACATACAAAACCGTTTTGATGAACGCTGCAACTACAGTTTGTGGGGAAACTGGTACAAAACGTCAGCACGAACGGGATACTTGGTGGTGTAATGACAGTGTACAAAATGCAATAGCTGGAAACAAAGCTGCATACAAGCAATGGCAACAATCAAAGTTTGTTGATGACCACAAAATTTTTCGTGAGAAGAACAACTATGCAAGACGTGGCTCGGACAGATCAGTGCAGAGAGTGGCTCACTAAAAGCAAAGGTAAACAAGTGAATTCTCTGTATCGTATAGCAAAACCAGCAAAGCGTACGAAAAAAGACATAGTTGGTGCCTCATATATCAAAAACGACAAAAATGAGATGGCTCTTGAACAAGATGAGATCAAGCTACAGTGGCGAGAATACTTCAACCGTCTTTTAAATGAAACAAATCTCATCAATGTCAACTTTGACGCTCCACCCATCGAAGGTCCGATTCCAGACATCACTGTAGAGGAGCTTATAGAAGCCCTGAAAGCCATGAAGGATGGAAAGGCAGCAGGGCCCTCTGGACTCACAAATGACATTATCGAAGTATCTAGTACTGCAGGTATCCAAACGTTACTACAACTTTGCCGTGAAGTGTGGAGAAATTGCTCAATGCCGACTGAATGGAACTATAGCATGACAGTTCCGCTATACATAGGTAAAGGTGATCCATTGAACTGTTCATCATATCGGGGTATACGTCTGTTAGAACACTCCCTGAAAATTGTCGAGAAAATCATTGAGAGAAGATTAACGTCGTGCATCACAACGGGAAATCATCAATTTGGTTTCCTAGCGAGGAAATCTACAATTGATGCAATTCACATCCTTCGGCAACTGCATGAGAAGTAACTCGCAAAGCATCAACAACTATCACACATTTTTGTAGATCTTGAAAAAGCATCTAGTTCTCCGTGAAGCAATCAGGTGGAGTCTACGTCAACAACTCATTCCAAAATATCTTGTTCGAATTGTGATGAAAATGTATACTGACAATTACTTTCTTTCCGCTTTTGACAAAGCTTTTGGTAGCTCGTTGTTTTTATCTCTTTGTTAGGCGTTTAGGTATATTAAGTCAAGTTTCTATTTCACTGCTATGTCCATCCATTGATTTCCTCGTGCTAAATCTTCAAGCGTCATTCAGTAATACTCTGATTTTAGCCAAAAATGGTGTTGGGTGTGACTGGCATACATCGTGCCATCAGGCTACTTGTATTCGGCTTCCGCATCCAAGTAGTCAGGGTTTCTTTTTAAATATAGTCTCAGCCTTTTTCCTAGGCCACGGCTTGCTGTTTTTATACATCTTATGATTGTGCTATGTTACTGTCCGTCTCTCACGATATGTGTTATCTGATCATATCTTAACTCAAGGACAGAGTGAATATTGAAGAAATGTTTAATCGTATCAAAATACTTACTTGTCCTATTGCAAATGCGCAAATTTCTGATTTTAACAAATCTCCAACTTTAATTAAAATTGGAGTTTTTTTTATTCAAGGCAAAAGTCAAAGGCATAGAAATCTGTCTTTTAACTTCTCACCTTGAAAGCACTAAAACCTGGGAACAAGAGCGAACTAAACAATTCCGAAAAATTCTAGACGCTGCCTACGAAGTTCCTCATAGCAAAGCGGTTATTCTTGGAGGAGATTTTAATCTGAGAGATTCAGAGGTTTGAATTTATTGTATATCTCTTAAAATTTGATTCTCATAATTTTTTGTTTCAATCAGCTTGAAAAGATTGGAGGTTTAAAGAATGGTCTGGTCGATGTTTGGGAGCAAACGGGCCGAAGATCTGAAGCTCAATTCACTTGGGACACCAAAAAGAATGACAATTTGTCCGTTTCTGGTCGATACAAACCAAGACATAGATTTGATAGATTATATTACAGATCAGATTGCTTCATTAAAGCTGTTTACTTTGAATTAGTTGGTTTTGATAGAGTTGAAGCGTGTAAACGTTTTCCTAGTGATCACTGGGGAATAATGGCACATTTTAACATATTACCTCACGTTGAAAACAAATCCTTGATGTGAATTTATAATTTATGTAGCATTTCATGAAATTATTTTTGAATTTATAGACATGTTTGTCGTTACCCAATAACCAACACGATTTTTTTATTAGATTTTATTTAATAATAATATTATTGTTTCATTTAATACAGCGCCCTACGCGTAGCGTTTGGGGCGTTCGGGATGAATTGCTATGTAGATCACAACCAAATGCCTATTGAAACAAATGCTGCTTTAAATGCTTTTTGAACAGTTTAAGGGACGGTTTTTGTCTGGCATAAGGGGCAGACTGTTCCATAAAAAAGGATAACAAAAGGAAAATTCTCTATTAGGAAGTGCAGATTTGCTGACCGGTTGATGTAAATTTTTGGAGACATTAGATTCGAAGTTGGTGTCCAGCGTTCTGACGAATACGCAAGAGATCGTAAAGATAGGACTGTTGCTGATAATGTATCATCTGGTACGTAATAATTTTGAAGATAATTCGTTAACGTATTGACAGCCAGTGCAATCTGATTAAACAGGATAAGATATGTCAGGAACAAGTTTAGCAAGTCTATTTTGCACTCTTTGGCGAGAAAAGATACAAGGGTTGGGACTAGGAAGAACGAGGCTTCGAACTAAAGTTGATGATAGCTCAATAGATCAGTAGCGTCGGATATGACGAATTGACCAAATGATCATGTTGCATGATCACAGTAGAGATGTTATGTTTGAATGAAAGCGTAAAATCGAAACATATTTCTAACATTTTGATGGAACCTGAAATTGGTAGGGCAAAACCGGCGATTTTGACATCTGTAGATAATGAGCATCTTCGAATTTGTTGACGATTCCCAAGGTAACATGATTGACGATTTCTCTGATTTCAGTTGAAGAAGATAGTTATATAGATTTAGGTAAAGACATAAATTTTATGGATTATATTATAGATCAGATTGCTTCATTAAAGCTGTTTACTTTGAATTAGTTGGTTTTGATAGAGTTGAAGCGTGTAAACTGGGGGATAATAGCACATTTTTACAAATTACGTCACGTTGAAAAAAACAAATCCTTGATGTGAATTTATTATTCTATGCAGCATCTTTGATTCATTTCATGAATTGAATTTAGACATGTTTGTCGTTACCCAATAACCAACACGAATAATCAACAGCCAATCTTTGTGCAAGCGCTTATGTTGTCAAGCTGAGAAGTGATTTTTGACTTCGAAATGACTCTCTAGAGGCAAGTATCATCAGTATAGTTTTATCATTAGAAAAAAAACATCAAATTTAGAGATGGGGTGACATAAGTTTTTGAAAAGAAGGGGGCCAAGCAGAAAGCCCACTGCCAAGGAGAGTGAAAAAGAATATTGTGAACCTAGTTTGATGTATTGATGGTGATCGGATAGGTATGATCCGAAACGAGTGAGAGCAGGGCCTTTTATGACAAATTTGTGCTCTAATCTGCTAAACCATGTTTTGTAGCTTTTAGTGTCCATAAAAAGTGCTGCACAATTCTGATTTTCGCAGATGTTGGTCGTATCATGAAAGTAGATAGTGCTGTTTCAGTCGAAAAGCATGGCCTTTAGGCGGATTAGGGAATAGTGAAGTTGGGAGATGGAGATGCGTTGACGAGTTCTCTTTAAGACTAGACACTCAGCCAGTTTGAAGTTTGACGGTAGTTTGAACGAATAGTGGGATCGAGATTGGGTTTCTGGAGTAAAAGCAGAACTTGGGCAGTTCCGAACAAAGTAGGAAAAGTGCTTGATGCGGAAGAAAGGTTTATAGAGCAAATCCTTTAAGGACGGGTTTGGTAGGTTGCCGAGCGGAGATGTTTTATTTGGCAAGGAACGACTAAGGTTTATGTTATGTCACGTTATGTTAGGTGGCTGTGCCCGATGAGTCTTGCATAGACTCCTCACTGTCATTCTTTGCCTTGGAATTTGTTTTGGGGTCGAATAAAAAATTGTATTTAAAATTTCAGTCAGAGACAGTCGAAAAAGATTCATAAGAAGAATCAAGATAAGGACGAGTATCAAAGGAAGGAATGCTTGGATCAGCAGAAGCGATGAATGGATGGATAACATCTATTTTTGTTTTAAAATGGTTATTAAATGAAGTTACGAGAATTTTGCAGAAAAATAAACCAGTTGAGGATGCATGTGAAGAAGATTGTGACGTGATCGCCAAAGCTGAGGTCATCCTCGATTGAGTCCGCCTTTGACCTCATGATTTGCATACTGGCAGCTTCCTGAGCGATCATATATTTTCTTCTAGTCTCGGCAGTCCTTTTTGCTTCAACTGCAACGTTCGAAAAACGATAATTGGGATGGAAGCCTCTAGATCGATGTACTTTTAATTGGAACATGTTTGTCGAGTATATTGTTGATAGATGTTGATACGGCCGTTGTAATATCATCAGTATTGAGGTTGCACGAGAGAAAATCATCAAACGCCGACAAGTTCAGTTAGCGGAAATGATGACGATGTCGAGTGATGATTGTCGGGGGTGGCTTGCTTGGTTACATATTGAAGACGACGAGACTGCGGATGGAAAAAGCACAGTCACTGGTTACTATGTTGTTGACGATGTTGCGATGAGTATGCGTGAAAATGAGATCAAGGATGCCGCCGCGATAATATGTTGTGAATGCACATGTTAAGTCAACCTGAAGGAGTCTATTACTACCGTTGTTAGTTGTTGATCTATGTCGGTTTGTTGATCAAAGGCGCTGAAGCCTCCGCATACGATAAATGGAAGGTCAAGACCTATGATGAATTTTATGTGGTCGTTGAACTGGTTATGAAACTAGTTGGTACCTGTTCCTGACGGTCTATTGATAGATGAAACTATGAATTATGACAAACATGTAGTAAATTTTGTAGTCAAACTTTCGAACTCGTTGTGTACTGCGTTGACGATAAAGATGGCCTCGAATAAATTGTTGTAGACAATAAATGGAAAGAGCACCACAACTTTTGTCATTAGAGCAGGCCCAGTTCTAGACTTGTGCATAGGCAACATTAGAATTTGCCGCCCCTCTTTAATAATTTTTGATTTGAAAAATAAAATCTGATTATCAATCTCAATTTTATTTTACTTCATTTGAAAGCAAGCTTTTCACAAATAAATTGATTCATTTAAAAAAATAACAAATTATTAATTCGTATAAATTGTATTTTTAAATGAATTTTTCTGGCTTTAAATTCAAAAACTTTTTATTAATTCTCCCATATCCTATTGATCTTCAATTTTTTCTATTGAAATGGTAGAAAGACCAACCTAACGATGATGGCACATTTGAGACCTCAGATACACTTATTATTTTTAAGTTTTAAAAACTTCTTTCGGAATGTTAGAAGAATCTGAAGAGCCATCGAAAGGTTAGGAAATCCTTCAAAAAATTTGGATGAAAAATTTATTGCAAAACATTTTTGGATCGCTTCTTAATAGATCAACAGATTTCCCTATATCTTTCGTTTCATCCCACGGTTCCCATCCGGTGATATCTGATTTACCAGCAGATGCTAGTGCTAATTGTAAGTCCTTACCGCGCTTTATTAATTTGTCATCCTTTAAACTTATTCCGTTTAGGGTGTACAGAAACCCAAATGACTCATAATGTTTTAATAATTTGGAAGATTCGTCATTTACTGCTTGGATTGAAAAAGGATATGTCTTATACCATCTTTTACATGTCTTATAAAAGATACTCTACACTTTTACTATTCAATTTTATTACAATTTAAAAATGAGAAAATAGATTTTAAAATTAAAATAGATATGGTAAATGTGATTTGTGTAATTATTTGAATTAGTTTAGTCTTTCTATTTTTGTTTGCATTCGAATAAACGTTCAACCAAGTTTGCGTTTGAAGCAGTTGTGTTCATCTAACAGAAATCTTGAACCTACGGAATAACGATTACTTGCCGATCGTTGGTAGTTACAACACTGGTGTTGGAAATAGAAAGATCTTTGAAGTTATAACACTGGTGTTGGTAGTAACGAGCGTTAAAGTTTACAACAATATTATAACAGTCAGTAGCGAATCTAGATAACTTTGACGAAAGGGGCCAAAATTTTGAAAATTGTTGAATTTTGACGAGAACAGCCAAATGATTTGTAGTTTTTAACTTTCCATGGACCGCTTTTATAAACAAGTTTGAAATCTGAGAAAAGAAAGTTAACCTCAATAGAAAAATAAACTGCTAGAATTAAAAATTTTAACACTTGAATGTGTTTTCACAGGGGATGCCGGTCAAGCACAACGAGATCAAATCAGTTTGCATACACGTACACCAGAAAAAAGATAGTAAATACGTATAAATATTATGCAAATGCATAAAATAAATTAATTAAAAAATATTTAAAATGAATAAAATTAAAAAAAAAGAATAAATATTTATTAATGAACTATAAAAATGTAAAATTTGATGAGTTTAATGAATAGTTAGCTGTTCATGGAAACTAAAGTGCTAGACCAGACTCTAAAAATGTGCGAAAGTGCGTTTGAGAGCAAGTATAGGCATAATAAGTATATGGCTTTACATTACTAAAAATTAGTGAAAATTAAAATTTTTTAGAAAAAGTGCCGCCCCTTGTAAAAACCTTAAAAATGTGTCCCTCCCCAGATGGTCCTCTATGCTTAGAACTGTGCCTGCATTAGAGAAGCATCAGTGAAAGTGACAAGTAGAATACCTTGGGGGCGCAAAACTAGTAGTATAACGTTGGGGGCATCCGAGGGTATCTAAGTTTTTGTGATAATGAAGCTAACAAGTTTTTTCTCCGAAATAACTTCATGTAATAGAAAGGCTGCAATAGTTATAATGCTTTTTTTCAAATTATTTATCATTATCTTGATTCTATAATTCCATGTTTTCATTACTAATTAATTGTTATAATTAGATATGTTTATTTTTCATTGTTTTGTGGATTTTAAGAAGGCGTTTGATTCAGTCTGGCACGAAGGTTTGTGGGCAACTTTGCAAAGTATGGGAGTGTCAATAAAAATGGTAAGGGTGCTGAAAGGGCTTTATGAGGAGTCAACAATGGCGGTAAAGGTAGGTACAGAGCTGGGAGACTGGATCAAAGCGAACATGGGAGGTAGACAAGGAGATCCAATATCACCATTATTGTTCTTAGCACTGTTGGAAAGAGGCTTGGAAAAAATGGAGAATGCAGATATTGAGGGAATCGACATTGGAGGCAGAGTGATAAGGGACCTCAGGTTTGCAGATGATATAGATCTGCTAGCACCTAGTGCAGAGGGTCTACAGAAACTGATCGAGTTGACGTACGATGGTGGAAGAAACCATGGACTACACATCAACAGCAGTAAGACAAAGATAATGATTTCGGAAGCAGGTGGAAACAATGATGAATTCCAGATAGGAGCAGAAAAGCTCGAACAAGTGAACCAATTTATATATCTGGGCAGCCTCATAACTGATGACAATAATTGTTCGAAAGAAATTGATAGAAGAATAGCAATCGCGAGAGGAATGTTTGCATCTTTGAAAGTAATATTGAAAAACGGTAATGTATCTACTAAAACAAAGTTAAAGGTCGTAGAAGCGTGTGTGTTTTCTACATTGATGTATGCATGTGAGACTTGGACGTTGAAGAAAAGAGACAAAGACAAACTGGAAGCATTCGAGATGCATTGTTATAGAAAGTTGCTGGGAATCAGTTGGAGACAAAAGATAAGAAACGATGCCATAAGAAAACAACTTGGAAGACAAAAAACTGTGTATGAAAGGGTTAAGAAAAGAAAGCTGGGTATCTTTGGGCACATCTGCAGAATGACAGACGACAGAATGATCAAAAAAGTACTGATGAGAAAGAGGGACTGGAAAAAAAAAGTTGGAAGACCTGTGAGGAAGTGGATGGATGATATCACGGAATGGACGGGGGTTGGAACATTGGGCTCAATGAAGATGGCGAGGGAAAGAAAAGGATTTTGGAAAGATAGAAGAATACCATCGGCCTCAACGGTCCCTTAAGGGACTACAGAGGATCATTGAATTGAATTGAATGTTTGTAACGCGCGATTGTTAAGCTGCTGTATGTAAGCACAGCACGAGTTGTAAAAAGGAGGTTGTAGTTGTTGGATTATGGGGCTGTCCTGGTCATCGAGTTAGCTCTGTCACTAGAAGTGCAATGTCTCGCGCTGCTATTACGCGATGGCATGGTTCGAATACTATCCCTTTGAAACTCAAAGACCATTATACCAGTACGATGCGGTGCTTGCGCTTGCATACATAATGTGTATGCAAGCCAGTGGCGTGGATAGTGTACAGTCTTTGTGGCACCATCCATCCATCAAATCACTATTACAAGATCAGTTTGCATTTCGTCCTACAGGTTCATCTACATCCGCCATCATCTCTCTTACTTCTACGATAACATCATTCCTTAAAAATAATAATTATGTTCATCTTATTGCTCTCGACTTTTCTAAAGCTTTTGACACTCTCAATCACTTCTCACTTTCAAATAAGTTAGCCTCTCTTCTTTTACCTGACAACATTTACAATATTATAATAAATTTTTTTCTAATCGGAGTCATTCTACTTTTTTTAGCTCTACTCTTTCATCTGCTCTATCTATTAATTCTAGCGTAGTTCAAAGTTCTGTCCTTGGACCATCTACCTTTATCATCAATGCTTCTACTCTAAAAACTATTCATAGCTCTAATCACATCATCAAATACGCAGACGACACCTACCTTATCATCCCATCATCTAACTCAAACACCATCCAATCAGAACTTGACTCATTAACGATACAATCTGTCACTTAATCTAAATAAATCATTCGAACTCATCACTCACAATAGCCGTAAGAAAATAACATTACCTCCAGAATACCCAACAATCACTCGCACAAGTCAATTAAAAATATTAGGCATCACATTCGCCTCCACACTGAATGTACTCTCATCAAAAAACTAATCCGCTCCAATTATCTACCTGCATCATATCCTACCGTCACTCATATTCAACACACTCGATTCAAGACTGTTCAAGAAAGAAGAAAATAACAACAACCACGTCATCCATCCTTTACTACAACCAATTAAAACTACTACACACAACCTTTGTCAACGCAAGCATAGCTATCAAGTCGCCACCCAATCTACATATCAGAAAAGACCTTCATCACAAGACACCTCAAACATATTTACACTCGATAATACTTTATCATTTACACAACTAGTTTTTATTTATCGATCACCTCACTAACTCACTAAGCCATCACCTAGCTTATGAATTTGGCTTTTTATGCCATTAATTCATTTTATTGTCATTTTATTTTATTTATTTTATTATTATTATTATTTTATTCTATTTATTTTACTTTTCATGTTTAAACGGTTTTTTTCTCCGTTTTTTTTTAGCTTTTATTTATCGATCACCTCACTAACTCATTAAGCCATCACCTAGCTTATTAATTTGGCTTTTTATGCCATTACTTCATTTTATTGTCATTTTATTTTATTTATTTTATTATTATTTTATTCTATTTATTTTACTTTTCATGTTTAAACGTTTTTTTTCTCTGTTTTTTTATTTATTTATTTATTCGTTTAATTTTAAACTACTGCCTTGCATGCTGTAACAGTTTCTGCGTCTGTCAAATCCTGATTTCTAAAGAATAATAAAAAAAAAGTTTAATTATAAGTATAGAATAACATGTAAGCAGCTTTGCGTTTGACAGAGTTGCATTATGAAGAATAAAAATAACGCTGTGTTGTGTTTATCTATCAGAAATCAGTGAACCTACGAAGATACATAACTTGACGATAGTGCAAGTTGCAACAATATTTTATAATGATACCAGTCATGAATAATACAAATACACAATTATAGTATGCTTAAACTTGGACCTTATAACTGATCGATCAAGAACTCATTGACGAGCAGTAAACAAAAGGCCTTTAACTTAGGTGAGTTTATAGGCAGTTAAGCCGTAACTTAATGGAAAGCGAACGGTTAACTTTAATATATCTAAGCAGATATTTTTAAAAATTGTATTGAAACGCTGAAAGTGTAACATACAAAATCAAAAACCATAAATAAATAATGAGGCAATAAAAATGAAGGGGTTTCGTTATCATGTTTTTCTTATACAATGTACATTCACACCTATATTCTTATATACACATGCACACAGGCATACAAAAAACAAACGTTCAGATACAAACAAGTAGGAAAATGAAGAAATAATATTGTTTAAAAATGAAATACTGATAATGACTTTGGACTTAACATTATTGAAACAGAATTATAATATGTAAATAAACAAACTTACCATACAAAATTAAAAAAGACAGTACGTAAACCTATTCACCCACCGGACCAATCACACCAGTCTAAAGTTCCCATTCAATTTTATGCAAAAGAAATTAATATAATAGATTCTTTTTTTTAAGTTTCAAAATCCTACAATACTAGATTCCGCAAAACGTCCTGGGTATGACATAAAACGGCATCCACGCTGCCTTGCGTGCTTTTGAGCGAAAGGCTAGGCCCACCGCCTATAACTGGTGGTTGTCGTCAGGATGGGTGTCCGAATGTAAAAACTTTTCCCCAAATTATTCCTATGCCATCACAAAGAAAAACAACGGCCCCTAGTCCCCAGCAGGCCTTAAGTGGTCAAGGGGTGCCAAGAAACCCTGGAAAGTATGCAATAGCGGAGGGATGTTGCAGAAAAATTCAGAATGGCCCCTCTATGGTACTTAGACTTGGAACGCTCAATGTTGGATCACTGACTGGCCGCAGCATGGAAATTGCAGAAATGCTCGAGCGTAGAAGGATTGACATCTGCTGCTTTCAGGAAATCCGATGGAAATCGAATGATGTCTGTCATGTCAACTCAGACAAAGAAAAATATAAACTATTCTGGAATGGTCAAAAGACGGCCAAAAATGGTGTTGGAATTTTTGTCAGAGAACAGCTAGCCCAAGAAGTACTGGATATTAAAAGGATTAATTCACGTGTCATGTGGATCAAGCTTCGCATAGAAAAGCAAACAATGATTATTTTTTCTGCATACGCACCACAGACAGGCGAATCAGAAGAGATGAAAAATGACTTCTGAACTGCATTCTCTGACACCATCTCAATAATACCAAAATCTGAAACAATCCTGATTGGAGACAATCTCAATGGCCACGTTGAAGAGAAAACAGATGGTTTTGACAACGTACATGGCGGTTTTGGCTATGGAAAACGGAATGAAGATGGCAACCGCATCCTTGAGTTTGCTGAAAGTCACGGGTTTTGTTTACTGAACACATATTTTAGAAAGAGGTTGGAACATCTCATAACATACAAAAGTGGGCCATCAGCCACGCAAATTGATTTTTTTGCTGTCAAGCAACCACACCGAAAGCTGTTTAAAAACGTCAAAGTTATACTTGGCAAATCATGTGTCGCCCAACATAGACTCCTTATGGCAGACCTGGTTGTCAAACTCAAAACATAAGTCTGAACAAATGCCTCGGAAAATCAAAACGTGGAAGCTGAAAAGCAATATTCATCGTGAAAAATTTCAACAGATTGTCGCCACACAGTTAGACCACCAATCGCAAGCCAGTACAGATTGGAATACATACAAAACCGTTTTAATGAACGCTGCAACTACAGTTGGTGGTGGAATGACAGTGTACAAAATGCAATAGCTGAAAAGAAAGTTGCATACAAGCAATGGCAAAAATCAAAGTCTGTAGATGACCATACAATTTTCCGTGAGAAGAACAACTATGCAAAACGTCAAGTTGCACTGGCTCGGACAGACCAGTGCAGAGAGTGGCTCACTAAAAGCAAAGGTGAACAAATGAAATCTCTGTATCTGAATCTTGCAAAACAAGCAAAGCGTACGAAAAAGGACATAGTTGGTGCCTCATGTATCAAAAACGACAAAAATGAGATGATTCTTTAACAAGATGAGATCAAGCTACAGTGGAGAGAATACTTCAATCGTCTGTTAAACGAAACAAATCCCATCAATGTTAACTTTGACGCTCCACCCATCGAAGGTCCGATTCCAGACATCACTTTAGAGGAGCTTACAGAAGCTCTGAAAGCTATGAAGGATGGAAAGGCAGCAGGGCCCTCGGGACTCACAAATGACATTATCAAAGTATCTAGTACTGCAGGTATCCAAACGTTACTACAACTTTGCCGTGAAATCTGGAGAAATTGCTCAATGCCGACTGAATGGAACTATAGCATGACAGTCCCGCTGTACAAAGGCAAAGGTGATCCATTGAACTGTTCATCATATCGGGGTATACGTCTGTTAGAACACTCGCTGAAAATTGTCGAAAAAATCATTGAGAGAAGATTAACGTCGTGCATCACAATCGGAAATTATCAATTTGGTTTTCTAGCGGGGAAATCAACAATTGATGCAATTCACATCCTTCGGCAACTGCAAGAGAAGTACCTCGCAAAGCATCAACATTATTACACATTTTTGTAGACCTTGAAAAAGCATTTGATCGAGTTCCCCGTGAAGCAATCAGGTGGAGTCTACGTCGACAAATCATTCCAGAATATCTTGTTCGACTTGTGATGGAAATGTATACGAATACTAAGACTTTTGTCAGCACAACGGTTGGAAACACAGATGCATTTGACATCGGCGTTAGAATTCACCAAGGCTCGATTCTCAGTCCACTGTTATTTACAACTGTGATGGAACAAATCACAAAACTGATACGCACTGGTGACATTTATAATCTAGTATATGCTGATATCGTTTTAACAGCCACGTCTGAGCAGAATGCAGCACAGATGTTTGAAGATTGGAACACCAGACTCGCCGATCATGGATTCAAAGTCAACATCAGCAAAAACAAAGCAATGAACACTGGTGAACCCATCCAATCCACAGCTACTGGACGATGGCCCTGTTCAGTTTGTAAAGCTGGTGTAGGTAACAATTCAATCAAGTGTCAGCAGTGTAACCAGTGGTGTCACAAACGTTGTTCAAAAATAATTGGTACTTTATCTAAAGTGTCCAATTTTGTTTGTCCTGCTTGCATCAATCCACGAAATAGCACTGTTTTTGAAGCCATTAAAATAGAGAAAGTCACATCGTTTCAATATCTAGGGGATGTTCTGGATTGTACTGGAACAGTTGAAGCTGCCGTTCGAGCACGCATACGTGCAGCCTGGAATAAATGGCATCTCCTTGCCTCTATATTGATGCCGCGTGACATCCCACTACCACTGCGATCAAGACTTTATAAATCTGTGATACGTCCGGTGTTGTTATATAGTGCAGAAACATGGCCAATGACAACCAAACTGGAACAACAACTTCAACTAACCGACATGAAAATGCTCCGATGGATGCAACGAATTAGTCTGAAGGACCACATCAAATCTACCGAAATCCTGCGTCGTGCTGGTTTAGATGATATAAAGGACGAATGCGGTGGTTTGGTCATGTCAAACGAAGTGGAAACAGTGCCATAACTTGTCTTGCAGATGTTGAAGTACCTGGCACACGTCCCAAAGGCCGTCCAAAGAAGTCCTGGTCGCAAACAATCGAGCAAGACATGAAAGCTCTAAATTTAAATGAAATGGATACAACTGATCGTCTAATTTGGCGCAAAAAGTTGATAGCAAAGAAAACAACGTCCTACCTCGGGAAACCGGGTCTCTGGACGCAAAAGGAAGATTGATTGACTAGATTCCGCAAAACTACACTTCACATGTAAATTCAGGGAAGTTTGAAGATTTTTTTCTTTTCGATCTACCACCGTTTCTGTCAGACGCATTTCGGAGCGTTTCGTGCCTTCAACAGAATGGCGTCTTCCAAATTGCTTATGACAGTCTGTTAGAAAGAATAAAAGTAGACTTAATATCATACAATCAATAAATGTAAATATAACGAAGAACCACAAAATAAAGATTTGTCTGAAATCTTTGAGATATTAGTTCAAAAAGGGGAAAAAGTGCTGGAACAATAACATTATTCCAGTAACGGAGAAAACCCACTTCATTTAATAACCATTTTAAAACAAAAATAAATAATAAAAATACGCTCCGTTATACAAACAGCCTAGCACTTAATAGTTCAACTTATCAAACAAATGAATAGTCAAAATTTTTGTTGAATATTTCGAGAACATTTCAGCACATAATACTCAAAACCAATCATTCATAGCCCACACAAGAACAGAAAAAAACAAGTTCTTGATGTTGATTCAAACAATAGTGAACCTTATAACGACTTAATATCACTTTGAGAGATTAAATAATTTATAAATTCTGTTAATAATTACGCTTCTGGTCTTAACATGATAACATACAACATACTTAAAAACATACCGAATAATTCACTAATTGTCATAAAAAAATGCATTTAATCATGCATGGACAAACTCTCTCGTACCCGACAAATAGCGTGAAGCACTTATTATTCCAATATTACAATCTAACAAGCTAAAAAAACGACTCTACAAAGTCCCGACCAATCGCAACACATTGTTTACAATTATGAAAAATTCTATACCACAGAATATCATACCATCTACATGTTAGCGAACCAAACAGCCGAAATCAATGTGGAGGAAAAAATCTCGATATGCCCTAGACCACCTAATTTCATTTGAATTTTTTGCAAGAGAAGTACTCATCCGCAAGGTACGGCATCATCGGATTGGAATGAGACCGACTGCCTCTATTCATACGTCAATTTCTGGAAAAAAGAAAATTTAAAATCAAAGTTAATAATACTTGTTCTCAATATAAAAAAATTTGAAATAGAAATTCCTCAAGGCTGTATAATGTCATCAACCTTTCTTTGTATCACAATTAACGGATCGGACGATATCATTCCATCAAACTTTCTCAAATGGTTTTATATTGATAATAGCCTAAAGTGGAAAAAATTGAAAATATCGAATACAAACTGAACATTACTTTGAGAGACAGTCAACATTGGTCAATTAAGAATGAAATCCAATTTTCGAATAGCAAAACCAAGGCATTGCCATTGTTTTCCAAGAAGAGAAAACTGGTTTATCCAAATATAAATTTTGAAGACATGCCAGTAAATTTAAAAACAATTTGAAATTTTTGGAAATAATATTCAGCAACAAATTAAATTTTCTGACAAACAATCAGTATGTCAAGAATAGATGCATAAAATTCTTGAATCTAATGATAACGTTGTCTCATTAAAGATGAAAGACACTCATAGATAATTAATAGCAATGTACAAAGCCAAGATTAGATACATAGACTTGTAGGCTATAACCTACTGCGGCCTACAAGTCTACGAGGAAACCAAAAAGTCATATTTAAAAATTTTAAACTCGATCATAAACGAATCAATGAAGAGAAGCTTAGATGTACATGGAACATTTCTGACAATCAGTCTCCAAATATTAGCAAACGAAATGCCGTAAAATCTTAGATAAATCAAACTCTCCCTAAAGTATTTTGTTAAAGTGTCCGCCGATCTAGATAACCCAACTTTCCAATATATTCAACTTTTATTATACAAAAACCTCTTAACAAAAACCAAGAATAACCAGACCTTGAAAGGTCTTAAAAATAGAAGAACACACAAAAGACTTGAAAAAATAAACATTGTACAAAAATATCGGTAAAATATTTCTATCTGGAAAATGTAACATTAACATAGACACTTTCAGCAAAATAACTGACATATTAATTATAAAATTGGTAATGCAAGAATTCCTACAACTTCAGTCCGAGGGCGCCTCAGTCGCTTGCATTGGCGCTTTATAAATGATATTTATTATTATTATTATTATTTATTATTAATCATAATGACATGATTATATAGACAGACGACTCAAAATTTAAAAAATCTACAGCAGCCCAGCCGTAATAAATAACCATGAAGTACGGCAACATTTACCAACACCTCAATTTACATAGCAAAATTCTATGCAATTGCTATAGTCCTGGAACATCTAAAAAAATTAGGAAAACAAAAATTGATTTACAATAAGCAAGATATACAACGTCACGCCAAAAAATTCTAAACTGACCCATAATTTCATTTTAAGTAAATCAGACCTTCCTGTTTGTGAATACTGTAATGATAATCCAACCATGCAACATTTATTTAAACACGATGAAGCCAAAAGCAAGCGAGAAAAATTAGCAATGAAAGAGAACATCAACCTCAACTTCCAAACTCATGAAGCATAAACAACTTAATAAACTACCTAAAACATAAACAACTTAATAAACTACCTAGAGAAAAAGACTTTTGGCACACAAAAGTACCAAAATGGGAGCTACCATGCTGTTAGAAAAATGAGTTTTAGCTGGATTGTCGGTGGAGTTGAAAGCAGCCACATATCATTCTTATAAAATTGTTTGAATCCCTTTTTGATATTAGAATAAGTTTATATATAGAAATACTCTTAACTGATATTAAATAAAAAAAAGAATAATATTGAAGACTTTTAAATTTGACTCTTCTAATTAATATTCATGTCTAACAGAAGCGCTTCATTTTATATAATAAATTTTTTTTATGTGAGAAATATAATGAAATTAATTTATTGTTATTAAATAAATTGTTTAAAATTTTTTAAATATTAAATAGTTTTTTTTAACTAATAAAACTATCTTTAAAAAATGTTAATCAATAAGAATTCTAAAAATGCTACAAAAGATGGAGACGTTTCAGGGCTATGCTTCGTAATTCATTTTAATCTGCTTACATCTAGGTTCATTGAATAAGATGGAAGAACATTATGGTATTGCAATAACTAACAAGTTTGCTTTGTTTGATGGGGACGAGGATTCCGATCCGTTGGATATTAATAAATTAAAACAAGATGAAGCTGAAAAACTAAAGTTGCAATCACAAGGAACCAAAGAAGCAAAATCACTTGATACTAAAAATAGAAGTGGCAAAATTCAAAAGCTGTCGGTGTGGGCTTAGAAAAAATAAAAAGATCAGACGATTCAAAAAAGACAAGTGGCAGTAGCAGAAAAGAAAACCTTCCCAATGGCAAAATTACAACTTCTGTCATTAGACCTAAGTCTTCAGATATAAGGTGAAGCAATTAATAATTTTATTTTTAATTTTTCATGGTTTAAAATTATATATATATATATATATGTATATATGTATTTTTACAATATTCAATAAATTCTACCGAATGTAATAGACTATAATTTTTACAATATTCTATAAATTCTACCGAATGTTTGGCGTTGGTGTGTTTGTAGTTCGTTTTTTTTTCAGTTTTTCTTACTAAGGTTTTTTGGTGAACGTTTGGTTTATTGGAATCCGAGTGAATCGTCATCAGTGCTTTCTGCTGTTTATATGGGGAGATATTGACTTTGTCGGGTGAGCTTAAATGGAGATTGACTTTGTCGGAATGGACTTGGATGGAAATTGGATGTCAGGTTTCTTTATTGGCTGGTCATCTTCTTTGGTCTCCTATCGATGAAGGAAAGGAGACAATAGAGGATGACCAGCCAATAAGGAAACCTGAACCTAGTTTACATCTAAGTTCATTTTGACAGGGTCAATCTCCATTTAAGTTCATTTTGATAGAGTCAATGTTTTCCCTATATGAACAGCAGAGGGCACTGATGATGATTCATTCGGAATCGAGATATGGCCTTGTTTGCAGCGTGAATTCGGAAAATAAGTTTTTTGAATTTTGGTAAACTGAGCGTTCACCAAAAGACTTTAGTGAGAAAAATTGAAAAGGCGAACTGCAGACATATTAACGCCAAACATTCGGTGGAATTTATAGAATATTGTAAATATATATATATATATATATATATATATTTGCTAAGAAATTTCACTGTATTTTCAGCTTTGATCAGTTTGATCAGTTTCTGGTTCTATTTTTCAATAAAAATTGAACCAAAAACTGATCAATGCTGTAAATGCAGTGATATTTTTTAACAATTGTATCTACAACAGTCTTATCCATAATTTTATATATATATATATATATATATATATATATATATATATATATATATATATATATATATATATATATATATACATTACTGTATGAATTCTACCAAATTGTTGGCATTAATTAATTTAAAGTTTGTTGATTAATGCCAAAAATTTAGTAAAATTCATACAATACTGTATAAAATATTGTCTCCTTCCAATATATATATATATATATATGTATATATATATATATATTATATTTTTTATATGATTCAATTCTGACTTCTGGACTGCATTTTATGACACCATCTCAACAATACCAAAATCTGAAACAATCCTGATTGGAGGCGATCCCAATGGCTACGTTGGAGAAAAAACAAATGGTTTTGACAACGTACATGGCGGTTTTGGCTATGGAAAACGGAATGAAGATGGCAACCGCATCCTTGAGTTTGCTGAAAGTCACGGGTTTTGTTTACTGAACACATATTTTAGAAAGAGGTTGGAACATCTCATAACATACAAAAGTGGACCATCAGCCACGCAAATTGATTTTTTTGCTGTCAAGCAACAACACCGAAGGCTATTTAAAAACGTCAAAGTTATACTTGGCAAATCATGTGTCGCCCAACATAGACTCCTTGTGGCAGACCTGGTTGTCGAATGGTCAAAATATAAGTCTAAACAAATGCCTCGGAGAATCAAAACGTGGAAGCTGAAATGCAATATTCATCGAGAAATTTTTCAACAGATCGTCGCAACACAGTTAGACCACCAATCGCAAGCTAGTACAGATTGGAGTACATACAAAACCGTTTTGATAAACGCTGCAACTACAGTTTGTGGGAAAACTGGTACAAAACGTCAGCATGGGTTTTTCAGTTTTTCAATGTGTCAACAAAGATTTATTTAACATGGAAAATCATTTCAATGATTACAAAATGCAAACCACTATTATGAATTAATAAAAAAAATAATAACATCATGTACAACATTAAGACGTTTTCAATCAATCAATTAGCTTATAAAGCGCTATTTCCGCGATGTTCAACAGCGCTCCTCAATGAATTTTTAAAACAGATGGGTCTTGAGATCCGCTCTGAACTTCGCAAGTGATGGAGAAGTATCAGAGAAGTAGGTAGAGAGTTCCAGAGAAAAAGACCAGAAAAAGCAAAAGCAGATTTGGCGAAAGAGTGTTTAACACGAGTTAAGAAAAAGCGAGAAGAAGAAGACGATCGTAAACCGGGGCGTTTAGGTTCAATTTATATATCTGATAAATTTCAATTAATATTTCTGGTAAATACTTAGGAAATAATTTAGATTGAGACTTATACTTAACTAAAGAGTTTTCTATCAACATGCAGTTTTAATAAAAGTAAATTAAATAATAAAATGTAACGAAAATTATACTATTTAAATTTATTAAATCAATTGTTTTATGAATTTGTACAGTGCTTCTAATAGATTACATCAGAAGCAAATTCTACAACCTTAGTTTTTATCTTTATATATATATATATATATATATATATATATATATATATAAATTAATAATTATGTAAATCAAACATTTTTCAGTTATACAACAAATAAACAAAACCGAAATCCAGAAATAATAAAAGTAGGACTGATCTAACTACGAGTTAAGTTAATTACTAATTATAGCAAGATTGATGTTTTATAACCAACAAGCAAAAAATATAACAATTTACACATAAATATAAAAATATACATGCTCATGATCTAGCACCTTCAGGGTTATTTTATAAATAGTAATGTTAAACTAAAAATTATTAAACATAACATACCTATTCTATTAAAAATCAACAGTTGTTCGTTTTAAAATTTAAATCAATAGCATAATGAATTTCAGGTTAGCTTAAAATTAATTAAACTATTATTTTTTTAATATATTAATGTCAATTACAGTTGAAATAGTTAAGTTAAAGAATTTGATGTTAACAAATTATTATATAATTAATTTAATATATTAATAAATAATATATAAATCATAGCATTTAAAGTTTAAACAGAAAAAAATGATTGTTTGCTTTTACTACCAAAATAAATTTTAAAAAACTCCTCTGTGTGATTACATTTGGTTTGGTTATGTTATGTTGAAAGCAAATATTCCATTCGTTTAAAGGCCGTTTTAAGGCGTTTTTTTTGGTGGATTTTTTTTATTTTTTACAACGAGTTAAAATTTTATTTGGGGTGTAATTTAATGTTGTTCCGACAACATGGCCCCAAAATGGCTAGGGCAATTTTTGAAAATTTATTAGGATTTATACGGACATAATTTCAAAATTTTGGGATTTTTGAAAAGTTTTCCGACGAGGGACCACGATCTAACGTCTTATTTTTTTTTGAAAATTTATGTGAATTTTTGGGATTGAAATTTTGCGTTTAAAGAAATTTTTAATGTTGTTCCGACACGGTTTTTTTTGAAAATTTATTAGGGGTTTTTCATGAAAATTTTTGAAAAATGGCAAAAAATTGATGACAATAGGTGTCTCCTCCGCAAAAAAAGGCCCTTTCTACCGTAAACGCCTAAGAACAAATGTCGTTTAAAGGCCGTTTTAAGGCGTTTTTTTTGGTGGTTATTTTTTTTTATTTCTTTTCAAAGTCATATATATATATTAATATATTTATATATATAAAGTTATATATATATATATCCATATATATATAAATATATATATTTATATATATAGCTTTGGGGTGTGAAAGATTTTAGTTTAGAACATATGCACAGGAATAACATCTTAATTTAAAAATTATTAGTTGATAAATTTTATTATAACAATATAAATTGATTACGACTTGAGTTATTTTTTTAAATATTAATAACATTTCATTTTTACATTAAAATTTTTACCGACTTCTTTTCGTTTTCTAGATTCTATTTTAATTTAGGAATGATTCTTACTGTAATGAAATGATATGAATGAAGTAAATGAAGTCCATCATCATCGTGATTCGTGGGTGCTGGGAAAATGAATGAAGAAATCTTTATTTCAGAAAAATGAGAATCGCTAACGAAATTATTATAAATCTTCGATTTTTCTGATGCATCAAAAAAATGGCAATATCTATTTAACGATTAAATACAGCACCTTAATATAAATTAACCTAAAACTTCACGGAATGTTGAAAACGAAATAAATTTTAACAAACGAGCTGAATGCAGATTGGCAAAGAGTCATTAACATAACTTCGGGAATGCCAAGATTTTTCGATTTATATCTCAGATTTTTTTAAAAATAAACCAAAATGCTCATGAGTAATTAATTTTTAGGAACTTGCTTTCAGAGGTAACTTGCCCGTTGAAATAAATTTCAATGTTAAAACGCTGGTAGGGCGCTTTCAGTTATATAATTCCATGGGTGTGCTATGCGTATTTTATAATATTCGTTGTTTCAAATTTAATATAACAGGTCACGATTTTCTGGTCTATAAATGACGTTAGCCAGGCTTCGGTAGCCGAGCTTCTTGATTTGAACGCCATGAACACATTGCTTGACTGTACATCGGGATTTATATGTAGACTGGGCTCGTGATAACCCTGCACGAATAGGTAGCCCCGGACACATTGTTCAGGCGAGAGTCAGTGGCGGATTAACGCACAGGCACAACAAGTACCGGCCTGGGGCGGCAAATTTTGAAAACTAGTTATGTAAAAATGTTCAAGTTGAATAAAAATAATTGTTGAAATTGATATTCTACTCAAAAATTATGGTGTTCAAGTTTATATAATTTAAAACTTTAAAAAATCGATTAACAGTTGCCGTTCGTTCTGATCATATATTTAAAATAAATGTATCGGAACATATAGCCGATAATGTCATGCAAAAAATCGTGTTTTTATAACTGGAACAATAATTAATTAATCAGAGGACGAATGACTACAAGTGGCGCTAAATTGTAACAATATGTACGAATACCGTTTTTTTTTCATGGTCGCGTTTTTCACAATAATTGTGTACACAGCTACAAAAATTTGAACGTAGTTAATTATGTTAACTGTTCACCAATAATGACACAACAAACTCAAACTTAACGGCAACAGTGAAAAGCGTAAAACTATCTAGCGATCAAATAAAAATTACTTTATTACTGCCTGTTATTTTAAAAAAGTTTTGTTAATGAGTTTGATGAGCTTGTATTATGATTTATTTGATTACTAAACGTTAATTATTAATCTAAAGATAAAGGTACAACTTATAAGTAAAGTAAAGGTACGTAGTATATGTGGGCGATAATATTTTCTTTCCAATATATGTAATTTTAATTATGTAGATGTGGTTCGATCATTGAATTAGATAGACCCTTTTTTAAATTCGCCTTGTCTTGTCGTGTTAAGGCCATATTTGTAGTTTCATAAAAAGAGCTAAAATGAGCGATGGTAGAAAAAGATTAAATAGAGTCAAAATGCAAAATTGCGAAAAGACAAAGAATTAAAAAACAATACGGACTTGGATAGAACGAAAAAAATCAACAAGTTTTTTCAGTCGGCGGTCAGTGGAAGTGGAGATCAATTGGAAGAACGAAATGATACTGAAGATAAGTTAGTCGATGCGTTTTTCATTAGTGCAAGACATTTCTTTGAAAATATTGTTTTTAAAAATTGATTTGGCTAAAATTTCGCATAAAAATAATATTGCTGTCTATCTATAGGTCCAGTTTAGCATGTAACGAAGAGAAATCATTCGCGGTTGAAGAATCTAAGACTGAGACAAATGATAAATCAAATGTCTCAGATGATGATGGGTTTTTTAAAAATCTAAATAATAAATAATGAAACATTTTGGTTAAATTACTTCACCTGAATAAATATCTTTCTTGTACAGGGCCTCCATGGAGATATTAACAAAATTGTCTGATGAATGTCTCTCAGAAAATGTGGAGCAATGTTTCCGTTTATCTGATGACCCTGCTTTATGGCAAGTAAATAATGAGACGCGCGATTTTGTGGCCAAATATGGCTTCAAGCGAAATGAAAATATGGACTTTAGTAAATCCAAAAAGGAGTACAGTGATGGCAAAATACGCAGCCTCACACCAAGTATGTTTGACTATACTCTTATTAACGGAGAAAAAATGTCGCGAGAATGGCTTGTTTATTCAGAAAGCACTGGAGTTGTATTTTGTGGAATTTGTGTTTTGTTTTTAAAGAAATCGAATGTACAAACAAAATTAACATCAGAAGGTTTTAATTTTGTTTTGTTTTTAAAGAAATCGAATGTACAAACAAAATTAACATCAGAAGGTTTTAATTATTGGAAGAATGCTTATAATGCGCTGATAGAACATGAAAATTCATTATCTCATAGAGACTGCGTACATGCCTGCAAAACGAGAGGTCGTGCTATAGGTCAAATAAACTCGCAGTTAAATGATCAATTGGAAACTGAGATAAATTACTGAAAATCGACTCTTGTTTGCGTGGTAGAAGTTGTAAAGACATTGGTTTCAAGAGAACTACCTTTGCGTGGACACGTTGACAAATTTGGAAATTCTGAAAGTGGGAACTACATGATGCTGCTTGAACTTATTGCTAAATTTGATTCTTTTATGGCGCATCATATAGAAAGATTTGGCAAATGTGGCAAAGGTAATACATCTTATCTGTCAATCAACAACTGTAGAAGAGTTAGTAGCTATATTGGCAAATGCTGTACAAGACGAACTCGTCTACCAAATCAAAATTAGAAAATATTTTTCAATAATTGTTGATTCAACGCCTGACATAGCAAAAGTTGATCAACTTTCCGTTGTAATCAGATATGTTCAAAAAAGCGGAACGCTTTACGAAGCGTTTTTAGCGTTTCTACCAAACACTGGCCACAAATCGCAAAACTATTTAACGCTGTAATTTGTTTTTTACAATCACACAACCTGGATCTTCAAAACTGTCGCGGACAATCTTACGACAACGCTTCAAACATGGCTGGCAAGTATTCAGGACTTCAGGCGCGAATCAAGGAAGTCAATCATCAAGTTTCATTTATACCATGCTCAGCTCACTCACTTAACCTTGTTGGCACAACTGCAACTGAATCCAATGCAGAAGCTTGCAATTTTTTTTGGCTGATCCAACATGTTTACAACTTTTTCAATGCTTCTACTGCCAGGTGGGAAGTTCTCCAAAACCACACACAGCAAAAATCTAGTTCATTTAATTTGAAAAGTCTTTCTACTACCCGGGGGTCTGCTCGCGACGACGCAGTTTGAGCATTGAAATATGGATGGAATCAGGTTATTGAATCACTACAATTTTTAGAAAAAGATTCAAACCAGAAACCAGAAACTCGTGCTGAGGCTATAGGAATTATTTCCAATTTGAGTTTTCTTGAAACCGGAATTATGGTAGAATTGTGGGGTTTTGTTTTAGAATGTCTGAACAAGTCTAACGTCAAACTTCAAAAAGTAGACATTGATCCATCGACTGTAATCGAAATTTACGATTCACTTTTAACGTTGTTCGAATCACTCAGAGAAAGATTTGAGGATTATGAAAAAAAAGGAAAAGTCCTGTCTTTAGTTGATGACTACAAGGTACCGCCATTAAAAAAACGGAAGCGGCATTACAACGAATCAGTTGACAATGAAACAGAATTTACCACTCGAGAAAATTTTCGTGTAAACATATTTCTGGTAATTGTGGATAATTTAAATTCTGAAATGAACAAGAGACGAAACGCTTATGTAGAAATTAATAAAAATTTCAAAGCAATTGTACAGTTCAAAACATTGTCAATGGGTGAGTTAGAGATTGCAGCGGATGGATTAAGATCTTTATTTCCAAACGATCTAGACGACACTTTAAATACTGAACTGTTGCATTCAAAGTCTCATTTGGCTACTTTAGACCAAAATGCAGTTCCACACACTCCAATTGATTTGTGTAAATGGATAAGATTGAATGACTTGCAGTGTGTATATCCAAATGTAGACTTCGGATGCACACTTGTACTCCTGCTACAAACTGTTCAGCCGAGCGATCTTTTTCTTGTTTAAATCGCGTTAAAAACTATTTGCGTTCGACAATATCCGAAGAAAGGTTAAATTATCTTGCAATTCTATGTATCGAAAAAACAATTTTGCAAGATTTAAACATTAATTTCGTTATTGATGAATTTGCGCGCAGGAAGGTACGTCGTAAAGTTTTGAAATAACTTTTATAAACTGCAATGATAGAAAATTTATTTTTTAAAATTGATAATATTACATTACATGAATATTATTAAAGAATGTACTTAATAAAAATGTTTTAAAAATATTGCGTTTATATGAATTTAATTTCTAAATTTATTATAAAATTTAAAATGGGGCGGCAAACCACGAGTGCCTCTAGGCGGCAAAGAGGTTAATCCGCCTCTGATTATTCAAGAGCATTTTGGTGTTTATTTTTAGAAAAACCTGAGATATAATTAGAAAAATCTTGGCCTTTCCGAAGTTATGTTAATAACTTTTTGCCGGTCTGCATTCAGCTCGTTTGTTAAAATTTATTTCTTTTTCAACATTCTGTGAAGTTTTAGGTTAATTTAAAAGGTTTATATAACCGTATTTAATCGTTAAATGGATATTGCCATTTTTTTTGATGCATCAGAAAAATCGAAGATTTATAATAAGTTGGTTAGTAATCTTTATTTTTCTAAAATAAAGATTTCTTCATTCATTCTCCCAGTACCCACGAATCATGATGATGATGGACTTCATTTCATTAGAGTAAGGCTCTCATCATTCCTAAATTAAATTAGAATCTAGAAAACGAAAAGAAATTGGTAAAAATTGTATTGTAAAAATGAAATGTTATTACTATTTAAAATATATAACTAATAATCAATTTGTAATATATTGTTATAAAAATATAAATAAATTAATCAACTAATAATTTTTAAATTAAGATGTAATTTCTGTGCATATGTCCTAAACTAGAATCTTTCAACACTCCAAAGCTTACGATACAAAGAAATATTTCCTTTCAACATAACATACCCAAACCAAATTTAATCACACAAGAGGTTTTTAAAATTTATTTTGGTAGTAAAAGCAAACAATCTTTTTTTCTGTTTAAATGTTATGATTTATATTATTTATTAATATATTAAATAAATTATATAATAATTTAAGTTAAAATCAAATTCTTTAACTATTTCAACTGTAATTGACATTATTAATATATTAAAAAAATATTAATACTTTACGCTAACATCAAATTCATTATGCTATTAATTTAAAACGAACAATTGTTGATTTTTAATAGAATAGGTATGTAATGTTTTTATGAATTTTAATTAACATTACTATTTATAAAATAACTCTGAAGGTGCTAAATCATGAGCATGTATAATATAATATACAATTTTAAGGGCCTTTTTCACACCAGTAAGAAAGAAAACTTTCATCTTTTAGATAAATATTCCACTTTCCTGGTCTTTCAGTGTCAATATGTGTAACGTTCAATATTTCTATATTTTCATCAGTTATTTGTTCTTGAGCCGTTAAAGCTAAATTCTCTCGACGATCAGTTAGATTTCCAGCTTGTGAAGTAGAAGCTTTACTTTGATGATCAATATCTGTTCCAGAAGTATTCGATTTCCTTGAGTCATTAGAAAATATTTTATCCAATTTTTAATAAAATTTTATTTCATATCAAAAATTGCTTGTAATTCCTTACACTTACACTTTACACAGAGCGATCTAAAGATGAATTAATAGTAAATTAACTTTCTAACTTTCCGTTAATAAAAGTTAAATAAAATTTTAAATTTTTGAATTTCAATTTTACGCGTAAACCAGTCATGGATATGGCATAAAAATTAATTTATAACAAAAATTGTTTTTTATTCTATGGATCAAGCATCGTCGTTGTCTTCGTCAGCGTCTTTGATTACTCGTCTAATCTGAAATTATCGCTTGGGAAGCTTTTGTCTCGTTTCTTTTTTAAATTCGATTTCGTATTGCATTTTATATATTATATATTATATTTAGTATATTTAAAAAAGAAAAGGGATTAGTGTAATTTTCTGCATTTATACATTTCGTTTTATACATTTTACATTCCTACATACATACATAAATATACATAAGTAGTCAAGTACACATGACATGACATTGAGATTAAACTATTAGAGAATCTTAATTCTTAGCTTGTCAAAATAATATTAAATACGTAATACATTTTTAATTAGAAATTATTTGCTTAGTATTTGATTTGACAGACACCGATTCTAAACCAAATCAAAATGCCTGTGATCCATTACAAAATGCCACTCATCTTATTTAAATGAAAATGTTACTTTACACAGGTTAATTTAATTTAATTTAATTTAGACTATACTATACACTATACTATAGCTATAAAGTATAACACTATACAATATAATTATAATAATCAGCAAACAATTACATATATTAATATAATATAATAGTAATAAATAATATTAGTAACATAATAAATGCATTAAATGGTAATGTTAACTCAAAGTTGTATAAATAATTTGTGCTGATATTAATTAAGTTAAATTTAAATTCAGACTGACAAAGAATGATATTAAGAGAATGAAACGAGAAAACCTCATCAAAAAATACATTGACAATAAGGATGGAAAAAAAAAATTTTAATTTGTAGCAAAAATTTTACACCAGAAAGTTTTCATAAAGTTGGTTTGAAAATTTTTCTTCAAAAAGATGTTTTTTCAACGATATTTGACAAGGTTAGTGTTACGTATATAAAAACCAATCATTTCAAGTTTCAGTTGTATAATTTAAATGTTTTTAAAGTTATAATTTTGAAATTAAGATATTGTTGTCATGATAATTTTTCTGAAGCGTTCTTTATTTATGTTATGATTTATTATAAACCAAAAAGAAACTTATTTTAATTTTTGAAGTTTGTAAACAATAACCTGCTTCTATCATAATTTAAACATTTTGTATTTTTAGCCTTCATCAGATGTAAAGTTAGTTTCCGATAATATTTCTGCAACGTTAATAACTGATGTGATGTCAAGTGTAAATTTGGTTCGTATTTTTGTATCTATATATTATCAAGATTGTGTTACAAATTTCAGTTTTTATTAAATATTTTAAAAAATTTGCTTTGCGTTAAGTTTTGTTATATTTATATTAAAAAATAAGAAGCATGTTTATGTTTTATGTATAAGATAGAAATATAATTAAACATTTGTCTTGTCGTTCTGACCGGAGTTATCACCTTAAAGATATTAATTAGATCTAGATGCTTTGCAAATAATAATATATATTCAAAAAACGTCCAGTGTTAATAAAACTTTAATAATTTAACATTTCAGTTAACCTCAACACCATCGCGGACAGTTGAAAAACCATCAACATCTGCTGTTAAATTGGTTTGTATGTTTGACAGGTTATAACATAATATACATAACAAATAAAATTTATTAAACTTTCTGCAACTCTCAAACACAAATAGTTATCTAAAGAAATTTTTATATGGCTTGCATTCATTGATTTCAAAAAGCTGAATTGTCATTTAAAAAATTACTTATAAAATTTTTGGAATATATACTTGAAATCTTGAAACGTAACAGACTGGTATTGATGCTTTGAAGCCGAGAAGTTTGAAAAGGAAAGCTAATCAATTATGTACGACATTGACTAAAACAAGGAAAGTGTTATACAGCTGCAATAGAAGAAGAAAGAGATATAAATTAAATGTTCAGGCATTTAAAGAAAAAATTAAAAAACTTAAAGAAATCAATGATGAACTGAACTCAAGATTGGTTGTAAATTCCTGTAAGAAAATTTTATAAATTAGAAACTATTTTGCTTCCAACCCAAAAATTTATTCTAACGTACAAATTCAATCAGGATCATCTGGAGTTGTTCTTCAACTTTATCAGAAGTACAAGTTTGAAAATATATAAAGTAATTTTTAAAACACTTTTAACTTCGTATATTATAATTTGACTTAGGAAAATGCATTGACAATCCCAATTTACAACAGTTGGAAACCATCTTTAAACGAGTTTATTTCAGATGTGGGATTGTCCCTGGGAAAACAGGTTATTCAAAAATTAAAAATACATACCTTTTAGATGATATTTTATGTTTATCATTATCTAACTTTTCAGGCAATGTACAGGAACAATTAAAGAAGATTCTGAATTTAAAATACCCAAAGAACAATTTCAACATATTTTTGATGAAGCTATTTTAGAACTGGAGTTTCTAAATCAAAACACAATGTCAACCATTATAGATAATGCAGTGGCATATATTGCTGGATGGGTGGTTCGAAAAGTAATCCAGATGATAGATTGTAATCAATGCTGGCTAGCACTTGTTGAAACAAAAAATAGAGTCGCCATGTTTTACCAACAGCTACTTATATTAAAGGACGACGGTGGTTTGGTTTTTCCTTCCCGTGGTGTCGTCAAGGTTATTAAAATAATTGATTTATAAAAATTTTTGCTTCATGCTTTTTCTATATCATCATCATAAAACAGTATACAAGAAAACATATATTACAATTGAATAACAATAGGAACAATGCATTAACAATCATTAACAACATTGCCAATAACAGACGGCTACCCATAAACTATTCCTAACATTTAATAAACAGATTTATCATGTAACAAAAAGGCAATTAAAAATGGATACCGAGCAACATAAAATGAATACTGAATCGGTAGTTTAAAATGTTTTTAAAAGGTTAGCCAATGAAGATTTATTAAATCTCGAAAAATATATATCAGAGATACATTTAATGGATTAAATAATCATTATTACAACTTATTGCAAAAACATATATAAATATACGTTCATTTCATTTCGCAAAAACCAAAAATCAAATAAAAATCCGTTCTAAATTTTATAAGTTAATACATTTCAAGGGACAATAAAATCATTTATCAATAAAAAGATTTATCAACCATTTATAAATTTTGAATGGTTTGATTTACTTAGTAATTATATTTGTTTCATATATATATTAAATATTCTTTTGCTATCTGTTGGTAAAATCTGTATTTTCTATTTGGTCATTATGTTTTCATAACACCCGTCACTCTAACATCTTCACTATTCTATATTTGATTTATTTTTTTTATTTATAAAATCATTATTTTCAACATATTTCAACATAATTTAACATAATTTAACATACTTCAATCATATTTTATTTCTA